TAAATAATTTTAGTAGTAGTCATAATATTTCTGCAAGCTTCCTTGCAATTCCAAAAAAGTAACCTTCCCAAGCAATTTGGGGATTTGAGGCATTGCAATAAATAATTTTAGTAGTAGTAATAATATTTCTGCAAGCTTCTTGGAAGACCTAGGCCTTGCAATTCCAAAAAAGTAACTTCCCGAAGCAATTTGGGGGATTTGAGGCATTGCAATAAATAATTTTAGTAGTAGTCATAATATTTCTGCAAGCTTCTTGGAAGTCCTAGGCCTTGCAATTCCAAAAAAGTAACTTCCCGAAGCAATTTGGGGGATTTGAGGCATTGCAATAAATAATTTTAGTAGTAGTCATAATATTTCTGCAAGCTTCTTGGAAGTCCTAGGCCTTGCAATTCCAAAAAAGTAACTTCCCGAAGCAATTTGGGGGATTTGAGGCATTGCAATAAATAATTTTAGTAGTAGTCATAATATTTCTGCAAGCTTCTTGGAAGACCTAGGCCTTGCAATTCCAAAAAAGCAACTTCCCGAAGCAATTTGGGGGATTTGAGGCATTGCAACAAATAATTTTAGTAGTAGTCATAATATTTCTGCAAGCTTCTTGGAAGTCCTAGGCCTTGCAATTCCAAAAAAGCAACTTCCCGAAGCAATTTGGGGGATTTGAGGCATTGCAATAAATAATTTTAGTAGTAGTCATAATATTTCTGCAAGCTTCTTGGAAGACCTAGGCCTTGCAATTCCAAAAAAGCAACTTCCCGAAGCAATTTGGGGGATTTGAGGCATTGCAACAAATAATTTTAGTAGTAGTCATAATATTTCTGCAAGCTTCTTGGAAGTCCTAGGCCTTGCAATTCCAAAAAAGTAACTTCCCGAAGCAATTTGGGGGATTTGAGGCATTGCAATAAATAATTTTAGTAGTAGTCATAATATTTCTGCAAGCTTCTTGGAAGTCCTAGGCCTTGCAATTCCAAAAAAGCAACTTCCCGAAGCAATTTGGGGGATTTGAGGCATTGCAACAAATAATTTTAGTAGTAGTCATAATATTTCTGCAAGCTTCTTGGAAGACCTAGGCCTTGCAATTCCAAAAAAGTAACTTCCCGAAGCAATTTGGGGGATTTGAGGCATTGCAATAAATAATTTTAGTAGTAGTCATAATATTTCTGCAAGCTTCTTGGAAGACCTAGGCCTTGCAATTCCAAAAAAGTAACTTCCCGAAGCAATTTGGGGGATTTGAGGCATTGCAATAAATAATTTTAGTAGTAGTCATAATATTTCTGCAAGCTTCTTGGAAGTCCTAGGCCTTGCAATTCCAAAAAAGTAACTTCCCGAAGCAATTTGGGGGATTTGAGGCATTGCAATAAATAATTTTAGTAGTAGTCATAATATTTCTGCAAGCTTCTTGGAAGTCCTAGGCCTTGCAATTCCAAAAAAGTAACTTCCCGAAGCAATTTGGGGGATTTGAGGCATTGCAACAAATAATTTTAGTAGTAGTCATAATATTTCTGCAAGCTTCTTGGAAGACCTAGGCCTTGCAATTCCAAAAAAGTAACTTCCCGAAGCAATTTGGGGGATTTGAGGCATTGCAATAAATAATTTTAGTAGTAGTCATAATATTTCTGCAAGCTTCTTGGAAGTCCTAGGCCTTGCAATTCCAAAAAAGTAACTTCCCGAAGCAATTTGGGGGATTTGAGGCATTGCAATAAATAATTTTAGTAGTAGTCATAATATTTCTGCAAGCTTCTTGGAAGTCCTAGGCCTTGCAATTCCAAAAAAGTAACTTCCCGAAGCAATTTGGGGGATTTGAGGCATTGCAATAAATAATTTTAGTAGTAGTCATAATATTTCTGCAAGCTTCTTGGAAGTCCTAGGCCTTGCAATTCCAAAAAAGTAACTTCCCGAAGCAATTTGGGGGATTTGAGGCATTGCAATAAATAATTTTAGTAGTAGTCATAATATTTCTGCAAGCTTCTTGGAAGACCTAGGCCTTGCAATTCCAAAAAAGCAACTTCCCGAAGCAATTTGGGGGATTTGAGGCATTGCAACAAATAATTTTAGTAGTAGTCATAATATTTCTGCGAGCTTCTTGGAAGTCCTAGGCCTTGCAATTCCAAAAAAGCAACTTCCCGAAGCAATTTGGGGGATTTGAGGCATTGCAATAAATAATTTTAGTAGTAGTCATAATATTTCTGCAAGCTTCTTGGAAGACCTAGGCCTTGCAATTCCAAAAAAGCAACTTCCCGAAGCAATTTGGGGGATTTGAGGCATTGCAATAAATAATTTTAGTAGTAGTCATAATATTTCTGCAAGCTTCTTGGAAGTCCTAGGCCTTGCAATTCCAAAAAAGTAACTTCCCGAAGCAATTTGGGGGATTTGAGGCATTGCAATAAATAATTTTAGTAGTAGTCATAATATTTCTGCAAGCTTCTTGGAAGTCCTAGGCCTTGCAATTCCAAAAAAGCAACTTCCCGAAGCAATTTGGGGGATTTGAGGCATTGCAACAAATAATTTTAGTAGTAGTCATAATATTTCTGCAAGCTTCTTGGAAGTCCTAGGCCTTGCAATTCCAAAAAAGCAACTTCCCGAAGCAATTTGGGGGATTTGAGGCATTGCAACAAATAATTTTAGTAGTAGTCATAATATTTCTGCAAGCTTCTTGGAAGTCCTAGGCCTTGCAATTCCAAAAAAGCAACTTCCCGAAGCAATTTGGGGGATTTGAGGCATTGCAACAAATAATTTTAGTAGTAGTCATAATATTTCTGCAAGCTTCTTGGAAGTCCTAGGCCTTGCAATTCCAAAAAAGCAACTTCCCGAAGCAATTTGGGGGATTTGAGGCATTGCAACAAATAATTTTAGTAGTAGTCATAATATTTCTGCAAGCTTCTTGGAAGACCTAGGCCTTGCAATTCCAAAAAAGCAACTTCCCGAAGCAATTTGGGGGATTTGAGGCATTGCAACAAATAATTTTAGTAGTAGTCATAATATTTCTGCAAGCTTCTTGGAAGTCCTAGGCCTTGCAATTCCAAAAAAGCAACTTCCCGAAGCAATTTGGGGGATTTGAGGCATTGCAATAAATAATTTTAGTAGTAGTCATAATATTTCTGCAAGCTTCTTGGAAGACCTAGGCCTTGCAATTCCAAAAAAGCAACTTCCCGAAGCAATTTGGGGGATTTGAGGCATTGCAACAAATAATTTTAGTAGTAGTCATAATATTTCTGCGAGCTTCTTGGAAGTCCTAGGCCTTGCAATTCCAAAAAAGCAACTTCCCGAAGCAATTTGGGGGATTTGAGGCATTGCAACAAATAATTTTAGTAGTAGTCATAATATTTCTGCAAGCTTCTTGGAAGTCCTAGGCCTTGCAATTCCAAAAAAGTAACTTCCCGAAGCAATTTGGGGGATTTGAGGCATTGCAATAAATAATTTTAGTAGTAGTCATAATATTTCTGCAAGCTTCTTGGAAGTCCTAGGCCTTGCAATTCCAAAAAAGCAACTTCCCGAAGCAATTTGGGGGATTTGAGGCATTGCAACAAATAATTTTAGTAGTAGTCATAATATTTCTGCAAGCTTCTTGGAAGTCCTAGGCCTTGCAATTCCAAAAAAGTAACTTTCCCAAGCAATTTGGGGGATTTGAGGCATTGCAACAAATAATTTTAGTAGTAGTCATAATATTTCTGCAAGCTTCTTGGAAGTCCTAGGCCTTGCAATTCCAAAAAAGTAACTTCCCGAAGCAATTTGGGGGATTTGAGGCATTGCAATAAATAATTTTAGTAGTAGTCATAATATTTCTGCAAGCTTCTTGGAAGTCCTAGGCCTTGCAATTCCAAAAAAGCAACTTCCCGAAGCAATTTGGGGGATTTGAGGCATTGCAACAAATAATTTTAGTAGTAGTCATAATATTTCTGCAAGCTTCTTGGAAGACCTAGGCCTTGCAATTCCAAAAAAGTAACTTCCCGAAGCAATTTGGGGGATTTGAGGCATTGCAATAAATAATTTCAGTAGTAGTAATAATAACATTCCTTGCAATTCCAAAAAAAGGAACTTTCCCAAGCAATTTGGGAGGCTTGAGGCATTGCAATAAATAATTTCAGTAGTAGTCATAATAGCATTCCTTGCAATTCCAAAAAAGTAACCTTCCCAAGCAATTTGGGGATTTGAGGCATTGCAGATGTCAGCTATTTTTAAAGGAAATATTATTTGTCGAAGGCTTTCATGGCTGGAATCACTAAGTTCTTGTGGGTTTTTTCGGGCTATATGGCCATGTTTCTAGAGGCATTCTCTCCTGACGTTTCGCCTGCATCTATGGCCAGCATCCTCAGAGGTAGTGAGGTCTGTTGGAAGTAGGAAAAATGGGTTTATATATCTGTGGAATGGCTGGGGTGGGGCAAGGAGCTCTTCCCTGCTGCAGTTAGGTGTGAATGTTTAGCTGATCACCTTCATTAGCATTTGAAGGCCTGCCTGAGCCTGGGAAAATCTGTTGCTGGGAGGTGTTAATCTGTGCCTGGTTTTTTCCTCTCTGTTGTTTAGCTGTTATATTTTAGAGTTTTTTAATACTGGTAGCCAGATTTTGTTCATTTTCATGGTCTCTTCCTTTCTGTTGAAATTGTCCACATGCTTGTGGATTTTAATGGCTTCTCTGTGTAGTCTGACATGGTGGTTGTTGGTGTGGTCCAGCATTTCTGTGTTCTCAAATAATATGCTGTGTCCAGGCTGGTTCATCAGGTGCTCTGCTATGGCTGACTTCTCTGGTTGAAGTAGTCTGCAGTGCCTTTCATGTTCAGGACAGTCAATAGATTGTCCTAATTCCAACAGACCTCACTCCTCTGAGGATGCTTGCCATAGATGCAGGCGAAACGTCAGGAGAGAATGCCTCTAGACCATGGCCATATAGCCCGAAAAAAACCACAAGAACCTAATAATTTTAGTAGTAGTAGTAATAATATTCCTTGGAATTCCACAAAAGGAACTTTCCCAAGCAGCCTGGGGGGGGCCAAAGGGCCAGGGCAGTGTACCTGTGACCAGGGCCAGGGTCCCAGCCAGCCTTAAAGGGCCAGGCGCCATCGCTCTGCCTCTGCCTTTGGAGTGGCAGCCTGGCAAGTGGCCAAGCCCCGCCTCCCTGGAAGTGAGTGCCATAGAGGCTGCAGGCAAGAGAGGGACAGGCCGCTCTGGGCATCCCTCTCCGTAGCCTGAGTCCTCCAAGGGCTGGGAGGCCACTTGGCAACCATGCACCAAAGCCTCAAGGCTGATTTTGACCTTTGCTTTGCTCCCAAAGGCTTCACCCAAGCAAATCAAGCCATTGAGAACACAACAAAAAGTTCTCCAAACTCTCCAATGTATTTTTGAAAGGCCCCCACATATTTATTGCAGGACCCCTTTGCACCTGCACCACCCAACACACCTTGTGTAGGCTTTCGGGTAGGATTCCTCACATTCAGACATTCTGAATTGAGACTGCATGGCTGTGGGTTTTGTAATTCAATTGGTTTTGTTGCGGAGTCAATAAACAATGATACAAATATATTGTCAAAGGCTTTCATGGCCAACAACCGAATGAAAAAGATCTTGGAGTCCTCGTGGACAACAAGTTAAACATGAGCCAACAATGTGATGTGGCGGCAAAAAAAGCCAATGGGATTTTGGCCTGCATCAATAGGAGCATAGTGTCTAGATCGAAGGAAGTAATGCTACCCCTCTATTCTGCTTTGGTTAGACCACATCTGGAATATTGTGTCCAATTCTGGGCACCACAATTCAAGAGAGATATTGACAAGCTGGAATGTGTCCAGAGGAGGGCGACTAAAATGATCAAGGGTCTGGAGAACAAGCCCTATGAGGAGCGGCTTAAAGAGCTGGGCATGTTTAGCCTGAAGAGAAGGCTGAGAGGAGATATGATAGCCATGTATAAATATGTGAAGGGAAGTCACAGGGAGGAGGGAGCAAACGTGTTTTCTGCTGCCCTGGAGACTAGGACACGGAACAATGGCTTCAAACTACAAGAGAGGAGATTCCATCTGAACATTAGGAAGAACTTCCTGACTGTGAGAGCCGTTCAGCAGTGGAACTCTCTGCCCCGGAGTGTGGTGGAGGCTCCTTCTTTGGAAGCTTTTAAGCAGAGGCTGGATGGCCATCTGTCGGGAGTGCTTTGAATGCAATTTTCCTGCTTCTTGGCAGGGGTTGGACTGGATGGCCCATGAGGTCTCTTCCAACTCTGATTCTAATTCTATGATTCTATGATACAAATGCCCTTCTATGCATAGAGTGCCCTCTTGTGGCCGCTCCAGAGTGGCACGCAGGCCGCCAATTTGGGTCATTTTAAAACAAAGTCACAAAACGTACTCCACCGAGTACCCCACCCATACGCTAAGGTGATCTGTGAAGGGTGTTGTACACCACGTTTGGTCCAGATCCACCAAGCTACGGAGGAGCCGTTAAGGTACAAACATACGTATGCGCTTTCATATAGATCTTGACACAGATGGTCTTGAATGATGATGATGAAAAGGAAGAGAAAGAACCACGACAAAGTCCTTTGTCTCACCCTGGTCATTCCACAGATATATAAACCCTTTTTCCTAGTTCCAACAGACCTCCCTACCTCTGAGGATGCTTGCCACAGATGCAGGCGAAACGTCAGGAGAAATGCCTCTAGAACATGGCCCTATAGCCCGGAAAAACACACAAGAACTGAGTGATTCCGGCCATGAAAGCCTTCGACAATGCATTGAAGAGAAAGAAGTTTCTTAAGACGGGCAACTGATGCGATGGCAAGGATTTAGTGGCATGTTTTCATTGTGCCTTTAAGGTGGGAAGTCTTCTCCAGTTGGCCCTTCTCTAAGCCGAACCTTGAAATCACAACAACCTTGTGAGTCCGGCCATGAAAGCCTCCAACAATAAACCTTTCTCTGCTTATGCCAGGGCTGACTCACTTGGCACCTGTTCTTTGTTTGTCTCCAGGAGAAGTCCGGAGGCTTCAAAGTATTTATTTATTTACTAGCCGTCCCCGGCCACGCGTTGCTGTGGCCCACATGGGGGTTCTGTGTGGGAGGTTTGGCCCAATTCTATCGTTGGTGGGGTTCAGAATGCTCTGTGATTGTAGGTGAACTATAAATCCCAGCAACTACATCTCTCAAATGTCAAGATTCTATTTTTCCCAAACTCCACCAGTGTTCACATTTGGGCATATTGAGTATTCGTGTAGAGTTTAGTCCAGATCCATCATTGTTTGAGTATTCGTGTAGAGTTTAGTCCAGGTCCATCACTGTTTGAGTCCACAGTGATCTCTGGATGTAGGTGAACTACAACTCCCAAACCCAAGGTCAATGCCCACCACACCCTTCCAGTATTTTCTGTTGATCATGGGAGTTCTGTGTGCCAAGTTTGGTTCAATACCATCGTTGGTGGAGTTCATAATGCTCTTTGAGTGTAGGTGAACTATAAATCCCAGCAACTACAACCCCAAATGTCAAGATTCTATTTTCCCCAAACTCCACCAGATGTTCACATTTGGGCATATTGAGTATTCGTGTAGCGTTTGGTCCAGATCCATCATTGTTTGAATCCACAGTACTCTGGATGTAGGTGCACTACAACTCCCAAGCTCAAGGTCAATGCCCATCAAACCCTTCTAGTGTTTTCTGTTGGTCATGGGAGTCCTGTGTGCCATGATTGGTTCAATGCCATAATTGGTGGAGTTCAGCATGCTCTTTGATTGTAGGTGAACTATAAATCCCAGCAACTACAACTCCCAAATGACAAAATCAATTTTTGTGAGTGAAGGACATACCTTGGGTTGTTAGGTGTCTTGTGTCCAAATTTGGTGTCAATTTGTCCAGTGGTTTTTCAGTTCTGTTAATCCCACAAACGAACGCTACATTTTTAGACTGGGTTGTTGTAGGTTTTTTCCAGGCTATATGGCCATGTTCTAGAGGCATTCTCTCCTGACGTTTCACCTGCATCTATGGCAAGCATCCTCAGAGGTAGTGAGGTCTGTTGGAAGTAGGAAAATGGGTTTATATATCTGTGGAATGACCAGGGTGGGGCAAAGGACTCTTGACTGCTGGAGCTAGGTGTGAATGTTTCAACTGACCACCTTAATTAGCATTTGATGGCTTGGCAGTGCCTGGGGAATCTTTTGTTGAGAGGTGATTAGATGTGCCTGATTGTTTACTCTCTGTTGTTTTGCTGTTGTAATTTTTGAGTTTTTTAAATACTGGTAGCCAGATTTTGTTCATTTTCATGGTTCTTCCTTTCTGTTGAAATTGTCCACATGCTTGTGGATTTCAGCCATGAAAGCTTTCAATAATACATTTTTAGGGTTGTTGTAGGTTTTTCTGAGCTATATGGCCATGTTCTAGAGGCATTCTCTCCTGACGTTTCACCTGCATCTATGGCAAGCATCCTCAGAGGTAGTGAGGTCTGTTGGAAGTAGGAAAATGGGTTTATATATCTGTGGAATGACCAGGGTGGGACAAAGAACTCTTGTCTGTTGGAGCTAGGTGTGAATTGTCGAAGGCTTTCATGGCCGGAATCACTGGGTTGTTGTAGGTTTTATCAGGGTATATGGCCATGGTCTAGAGGCATTCTCTCCTGACGTTTCGCCTGCATCTATGGCAAGCATCCTCAGAGGGAGTGAGGTCTGTTGGAAGTAGGAAAAAGGGTTTATATATCTGTGGAATGGCCAGGGTGGGGACAAAGGACTCTTGTCTGCTGGAGCTAGGTGTGAATGTTTCAACTGACCACCTTGATTAGCATTTGATGCTGGCAGTGCCTGGGGGAATCTTTTGTTGAGAGGTGATTAGATGTGCCTGATTGTTTACTCTCTGTTGTTTTGCTGTTGTAATTTTAGAGTTTTTAAATACTGGTAGCAAGATTTTGTTCATTTTCATGGTTTCTTCCTTTCTGTTGAAATGGCTTGGCAGTGCCTGGGGCAATCTTTTGTTGAGAGGTGATTAGATGTGCCTGATTGTAACCCGGAAAAACGTACAACAACGCAGTGATTCCGGCCATGAAAGCCTTCGACAATACTACATTGTTATTTATATAGATCACGTCAGAAGCGAATTGAGAATACAGCTATAATGTACAGAAAAACCAATGACCAGCCCCTGCCAGAAGGGGCAGAGAGTTTCCTCTATGCTGACGATCATGCCATCAATGCTCAAACAGGGAGCTTTGAAATGGCTTCAAGGTTGAGTAAGTTCTATCCAACTACACTTAACATTTCAAAAACGTCATGATCAATGTTTTTAGACGGAGGGGAGGGCTGTTTTAATAGATGGATTGGTGGTATCGGTGATGTATTGGACAATTACCGCCTTTCTCAATGTTGAAAAGAGTTTATAAACATGTTGGTTTTTAAAATAATCATGTTATATTTATACCAATTTTTCTCTCTCTTGATCAAGACCCAAAGCAGATCACAACATTTTTCTTTTAAAAAAAGGAGGGGCAATTAAAAATCTACAGCATATAGAAATGGAATGAAATCACTTAGAATTCTATCAAAATAATCAAAACACGATGCATGGATTAATTCTCCGCCTTCCTATTTCCCCAGCTACGCTGAAAATGTCCCGGATTCTGTTCCTTTCTTCCTTCGTTTTCAGCATGACTCACAACCAACGTACAAATTTCAGTTGCCACAATTTAGTATTTGAAACTGATCCCAAATTAGCTTTCTTCCATCATAACACCCCGTGTAATGCTCTACTACAGGCATGGGCAAACTTGGGCCCGGCGGGCATTTTGGACTACAACTCCCACAATTCCTAACAGCCTAAGATTCCAAAAGATATCATGTAAATATATAGATATGCATATAAAAAGAAATGTACCATTCCGACAGCCCTTGGAAGGCAGGCATGGGCAAACTTGGGCCCTCCAGGTGTTTTGGACTTCAACTCCCACAATTCCTAACAGCCGATAGGCTGTTAGGAATTGTGGGAGTTGAAGTCCAAAACACCTGGAGGGCCCAAGTTTGCCCATGCCTGCCTTCCAAGAAACTTGGGGGTCTCTTTTACTACCTATTTTTTTGGTGGCCCACTGGGGAGACTAAGCATCCCATCATCCCCACAAGCAACACCCAAGTTCCAAAGGCCTGGAAAACCAGCCACGAAACTCTAACCTGGCCCCCACTTTCCACCGTTATATACATTCTGGAACCATGATTTTTCGAACAATGTCCCCACCCAGTCAGAGAAAGGAGGGACTACAACTCCCAGAATCCCCACACACCAGCCTGGGCAGGGGATTGTGGGAGGCGTAGTCACAAAGACCACTTTCAGCCTTAAGGCAGAATCACATAAGTTGTTACTCCACTACGACGGCTCCCTCAGGCAGAACCCTGGGATTTGTAGTTGAGGAACATGTGTTCTCTCTGGTTGAGAACTTTAAAGGTCCTTCCCTCTGAACTACAAGTCCCAGGATTCCATTGGAAGCATTAGAAATGGAACGACAGCGTTGTGCGATATTGTCCTCAAGACGATTTCAAGTGTCCCAATTTGTGAATGAATCCCTTCTTGTAGACCACTTTCAGCCTTAAGGCGGAATCACATTAGCTGTTACTCCACTACGACGGCTCCCTCAGGCAGAACCCTGGGATCTGTAGTTGAGTAATAAGCCCAGGAGAACTTTCAAGGTCCCTCCCTGTGTACTACAAGTCCCAGGATTCCATTGGAACCATTAGAAGTGGAACGACAGCGTTGTGCGATATTGTCCTCAAGACGATTCCAAGTGTCCCAATTTGTGTATGAATTCCTTCTTGTTTTGGTCCTTTTTCCCGATGGCCCCTTCCCCATTCATTAGTAGGGGGGGCTTTGGCCCATGAGACCGAAGACAAGAAGGATCGCAAGTCCCATCACTCAACCCAACAACAAAGCCCTTGTCGTCGTTATCAGAGTCCAGATGAATCCCGCCGGAGATATCCCATTCCCTTCCACATCCCATAATTATCCCAACCACCATCATATCCAGACGCATCCCGCTGGAGATGTCCCATCCCCTTCCACATCCCATATTAATCCCAACCACCATCGTTCTGTGTCCTCCTGGACGAGTCGGGACAGAAGAGTTGAACTCTCTGGAGTCCCAGACCGACTTCCTCTTCACTTCATGGCGCCCCCTGGAGGGCAGGAGGAACATGAAATCTCGACAAGTTGGCCCTCTGGAGCGCTTCCTCTTTGCTCGAGAGGAAAGGGAAATCTGGACAAAATGACAAAGAATTGTTGGCTTCCTAGAGTAACAGATTCACTTCCTAATTGCAGGGTCCTCACGGTGCTCCCGGAGGACCAGGAAATCCGAAGCCCACCAGGGCGGAAGAGTTGGCTCCCGGGAGTACGAGGCACGCTTCCTCTCTTGACGGGTCTTCACAGCGCCCCACAAAGTGGGGGAAGTGAGGAAGTTCTGGCGCTCCCTTTGTCTCCTCGAGGGAAGCGCCCGCTGTCCGGGAAGGGCGGCTACTCGTACTGGGCGATGAAGACCATCATGGCCACGCCTGCCACCAAGCCCATCACCTGCAGGAGGGACTGGATCGGGCCGGATTCCTGGAGCAGCTCCGGCAGGACCGAGACGGTGGCCACGTAGATGAAGCCCCCGGCCGTGAAGGGCAGGATCCAGGCCGTGGCCGCCTCCCCCGCCCCCTCCGCCAGCAGAGAGACCACCGTCCCCGCCAGCGCCCCCAGCGCCGTCACCAGCTGCAGCTTCATAGCCTGCCAAAGGAAGACAACAAAGAAGGAGAGGCGACAAGTCAGTGTTGGGAAATTCACAATCTTGCATGCACATCGAAATGTGTTTAAGGCATTGAATAATTGCCATATGTATGTAAGCCGCCGTGAGTCCCCCTTGGCTGGGTAGAGAAAGGCAGAGTATAAACAGAGTACAGGGTTAGTCAAAATGAATAGGCCAATAAGAAAATTAATTTTAGACGAATGTATGTTTACTGTAACCAAACTACAGCTACGTAGCGACAGATAAACTTATCAAAGTTTTGTCTCACCTTCAGAGATGTTCGATATGGGCGCCCCGTGTGACACGGCAGATGTCCAAGCGATAGTCCAGTTCATTCCACATCCGTTGCAGCACATTCGACGTAATGGCATCGAATGCAGCAACGTCTGGGAAGGTGTTCGTTGAGGTACCCTAACCCTAACCCTATCCCTAACCCTAACCCTATCCCTATCCCTATCCCTAACCCTAACCCTTGAAATTCTCGCTGGACCGTAATTACTGACATTATTTTAGCAAATGTTATCACACAAAACGCCTTCTCTTTGCTTGATTCCGCCATTTTGAAAACAGCGACCCCTAGCGACGCCTAGCGGCATTAACGTACATGTGTGTTGCTCAAAAAAAACTTTGATAGTTTATCTGTCGCTACGTAGCTGTGGTTTGGTTACAGTAAACATACATTCGTCTAAAATTAATTTTCTTATTGGCCTATTCATTTTGACTAACCCTGTCCATTTCTTTCTTTATTTACTTTACTTATATACCGCTGTTCTCAGCCCGAAGGCGACTCACAGCGGTTCACAACCAATAAAAACAGCAATAATTCAATGCAAAATATAACAACAATTAACAACTTAACACATTACCCAATCAATAAACACTTACTACGATAACCGATCACAGTCGTCTCATTATCAAAAACAGGTTCCAGATTCGTCATCCATTGTTCCATTCCAGTGTTCATTAACCAATCATTGCACTAATTATTCGAACGCCTGCTCAAACAGCCAGGTCTTCACTTTTTTGCGGAATACCATTAGAGATGGTGCTAGTCTAATGTCCGTAGGAAGGGCGTTCCACAGCCGAGGAGCCACCACCGAGAAGGCCCTATCTCTCATCCCCGCCAGCCGTGCTTGAGAAGCAGGCGGGATCGAGAGCAGGGCCTCCCCGGAAGATCTCAAAGTCCTGGTGGGTTCATAGGCAGAGATGCGGTCGGATAGGTAGCTTGGGCCGAACCGTTTAGGGCTTTAAAGGCCAACGCCAGCACTTTGAATTGAGCCCGGTAGCAGATCGGCAGCCAGTGGAGCTTGCAGCAGAAGAGTGGTATGCTCCCTGCGCTCCGCTCCTGTTAGTACCATGAAGAAACATAAAATAAGGCAGTGGTTCTCAACCTGGGGTCGGGACCCCTGGGGGTCGTCAGGGAGTGTCAGAGGGGTCGCCAAAGATCAGAAAACACAGTATTTTCTGTTGGTCATGGGGGTTCTGTGTGGGAAGTTTGGTCCAATTCAATTGTTAGTGAGGTTCAGAATGCTCTTTGAGCGTAGGTGAATTCTAAATCCCAGCAACTACAACTCAAATGTCAAGATCCTATTTTCCCCACACTCCACCACTGTTCACATTTGGGCATATTGAGTGTTTGTGCCACGTTTGGTCCAGATCCATCATTGTTTGACTCCACAGTCCTCTCTGGATGTAGGTGAACTACAACTCCAAACTCAAGGTCAATGCCCACCAAACCCTTCCCGTGTTTTCTGTTGGTCATGATAGTTTGGTTCAATTCCATCATTGCTGGAGTTCAGAATGCTCTTTGATTGTAGGTGAACTACAAATCCCAGCAACTACAACTCCCAAATGACAAATTTATTTATTTATTTGTTTATTTGCAGTATTTATATTCCGCCCTTCTCCTCACCCCGCAGGGGACTCAGGGCGGATTACAGTGTACACATATATGGCAAACGTTCCATGCCAATTTTGACATACAACATATACAGACATACACAGAGGCTATTTTAACTTTTTCTGGCCGCCAGGGGAGCTGTCGCTTTCAACGTCAATCTGCGATACTGATGATGTACTTCCGCATTCCCCACATGCTTTTTGCTGGAGTGCTTGCTGCAGTCTTTTTTTTTTTTATGGCCTCATAAATTAGTTAATTTAGCCTCCCGACACTTTAAGGTGGTACCTAGTTTTCCTACTGGACAGATGCAACTGTCTTTTGGGTTGCAAAGGTCGACAACAGGCTACACAATTGGTTGGAAACCCACTCCAACCCGGGCTGGCTTCGAACTCATGACCTTTTGGTCAGAGTGATCTTAATGCAGCTGACACTCAGCCAGCTGCGCCACAATCCCGGTGCAAAATCAATCAACCCCACACCCCAATCCAATTTTGGGCATATTGGGTATTTGTGCCAAATTTGGTCCGGTGAATGGAAGTACTACATCCTGCTTATCAGATAATCGCATTACAATTAATAACAGGAGCAAAATTACAGTTATGAAGTAGTAAAATAATGTTATGGTTGGGGATCACCATAACATGAGGAAATGCATTAAGGGGTTGCGGCACTAGGAAGGTTGAGAAACACTGGAATAGGTGCACTGCCATTTTAGGGGTACCTACCCTCATTAGGAAACTTGGGAATTTATAGTTTGGTGAGGCCTCCATCCAACAAAATCCCTGACTAAATCTGGCATTGGCACGGCCACCCTCCTTCCCCTCGTGAGCTTCCTTGCCTCGAGCGACAAATGCAAGAGACTCCACTTTGGCAGGAAAAACGAAATGCAAAGATACAGAATGAGGGACAATGCCTGGCTCGAGAGCAGTACGTGTGAAAAAGATCTTGGAGTCCTCGTGGACAACAAGTTAAACATGAGCCAGGAATGTGATGTGGCGGCAAAAAGCCAATGGGATTTTGGCCTGCATCAATAGGAGCCTAGTGTCTAGATCTAGGGAAGTCATGCTCCCCATGCTCTATTCTGCTTTGGTTAGACCACACCTGGAATATTGTGTCCAATTCTGGGCACCACAATTCAAGAGAGATATTGACAAGCTGGAATGTGTCCAGAGGAGGGCGACTCAAATGAGCAAGGGTCTGGAGAACAAGCCCTATGAGGAGCGGCTTAAGGAGCTGGGCATGTTTAGCCTGAAGAAGAGAAGGCTGAGAGGAGATATGATAGCCATGTATAAATATGTGAGAGGAAGCCACAGGGAGGAGGAGGGAGCAAGCTTGTTTCTGCTTCCTTGGAGACTAGGATGCAGAGCAATGGCGGAACAATGGCTTCAAACATTAGGAAGAACTTCCTGACTGTGAGAGCCGTTCAGCAGTGGAACTCTCTGCCCCGGAGTGTGGTGGAGGCTCCTTCTTTGGAAGCTTTTAAGCTGGATGGCCATTTGTCAGGGGTGATTTGAATGCAATATTCCTGCTTCTTGGCGAATGGGGTTGGACTGGATGATGGCCCAGGAGGTCTCTTCCAACTCTAGGATTCTAGGATTCAGGGAATGCCCTGGGACACAGGATGGTGGGGGGCATGAGTCCCCCTTTTTCCTCCCAGAGAGCCCTGAAAGCCCTCTGCACGTGCCCTGGTGAGAGCCGAGGCTGACCTTGCGCTTGCTGCAGCCGGACTGGACGAGGATGGCGAAGTCCCCGACCTCGTGGGGCACTTCGTGGAGCAGGACGGTGAGGGTGGTGACGGCGCCCACAGTGCTTCCGGCCAGGAAGGAGGCCCCCAGCGCCAGGCCGTCCGTGAAGTTGTGCGCAAAGTCCGCCGCCAGGTTCAGGTAGCCAGCCACGCGCATGTCTGTGATGGGGCAAAAAGGGGGAAGGAGGAAGAGAAGGAGGAGAAAGGGGGAGGAAGGAACACAAGGAGGAGGAGGAGGAGGAAGGAGAGCAAGACAGAAGAAGAAAGACAAGGTTGGGATGAAAGAAGAGAAGGGGAAAGGGAAAAGACAGGAGAAAGGAGAGAAGAGGAAGAATGAAGTGGAGAAGAAAGGGAAGAGGAGGAATTATGAGAAGGAGGAGGAACGTGAACAAGAGGGAAAGGAGGAGGAGGAGGAAAAAGAGGGAGAGGAAGAGAGAACAATGAGAAGGGGAAGAGAAGGAAGAAAAGAGAGAAAGCAGTAGGGAAAGAAAAAGGGTGAAGGAAGGAGAGAAAGAAAGAATTAGAGAAAGAGGGAGGAAAGGTTGGCCACAGCAACATGTGGCAGGTACAGCTAGTTATTTAAAAAAGTAGGAAAGGGCAGTGGAAGGAGAGAAGAAGGATTAGAGAGTGAGGAAGGAGAGGAAAAAAGGAGGAAGAAAAGAGAGGAAGAACACAGTGGGGAAGAAAGAAGAAAAGAGTGGGAGAAAGAAGAGAAGGAGAAGAGGAGGAAGTGAAGGGATAGGAAGAAGGGAGAAGGAAGAAGAGGAGCAAAAGGAAGAGGACAACAAGACGGGAAGAAAATGAGACGAGAAGAGGAAAATGATGTGAAGAAAAAGAGAAAGAATTAGGAGGAACGTGAAGATGATAGCAAAGAAGAGGGAAAGGAGGAGGAGGAGGAAAAAGAGGGACATGAAAGAGAACAACAGGAAGAGAAGGAGAAGGAGGTAAAGGAAGGAGAGAACAATGAGAAGAGGGACAAGAAAAGAGAGGAAGGGAAGAAAAGGAGGAAGGAAAGAGAGGAAGAACACAGTGGGGAAGAAAGAAGAAAAGAGTGGGTTAAAGAAGAGAAGCAGAAGAGGAGGAAGTGAAGGGATAGGAAGAAGGGAGGGAAGGAAGAAGAGGAGCAAAAGGAAGAGGTCAATGAGAAGGGAAGAAAACAATGAGAAGAGAAGAGGAAAAATATGTGAAGAAGAAAGAACAGGAAGAATTAGAAGGAGGAACATGAAAGTGATAAGAAAGACGTGGGAAAGGAGGAGGAAAAGAGAGAGATGAAAGAGAACAACAGGAAGAGAAGTGGAAGGAGAAGGAGGGTAAAGGAAGGAGAGAGAAAGGGGGAAGAGAAGGGAAGGGAAGAAAAGGAGGAAGAGGAAGAAAAGAGGAAGAATGAGGTGGTGGAGAAGAAAGAAGTAGAGGGGAAAAAGGAGGAGGAAGAGGAGAGGAGAAAGAAAAGAAAGACGAGGGTAGGAAAGGACAGATTAAAAGAAGAGAAAAAAGGAAGAGGGGAGAGAAGAAGAAAAAGAAGAGAATGATAAAAAGAAGGGAGGAGGAAGAAGGAGAGAAAGAAGGGGATTGGAGGAGGAAGGAAGGAAGACAAAAGAAGAGGGACAACGAGAAGCGAGGAGGGGAATGTGAAGAGAGTGGAGAAGGGGAAGAGAAGGAGTGGAGAAGAGGAGGAGGAAATGGAAGAGTGAGAGAGTTGGATGCGTGATCCCCTTCCCTGCCCCTCTCAACAGGACCCACCCCCCAGCATCCCACTCACTGCTCCCAGGGGCCTTCCTCTCCTTCTCCTTCTTCTTGAGGACTGCCTTCTCTCCTTCGTCATCACTGCTCTTGGCCTTGGAGGCTGCAAAGAAAAGCAACATTTCTCCTATTTTCACACTGACCCTGTGCTCCTAAACCCTGACAATCCAGAGGGACTGAGATATTATAGGGAATACTCTGTTTTCTATACTACGAGGGTTGAATGAAAAGTAATGCCTCCACCTTCGTTACTTGGGTTTGGATGGGAATATTTTAATAAATCAAACGCAGAAATAATCCTTAGAATGTGCTCTTTAACTACCACTGTTCACCTTCCACATAATCACCAGACAATTGGAAACATTTCTCCCAACAAGTTTTCTGAAGCCGTCGCGGAAGAAGTCGACATTCTTTTTCTGCAACCAGCGTCTCACAGTTCTCTCAACGTCTTCATCAGAAGCATCAGGATGTCCCCACAGATCTTCTTTCATTATCACAGATATATAAACCCATTTTCCTAGTTCCAACAGACCTCACTACCTCTGAGGATGCTTGCCATAGATGCAGGCGAAATGTCAGGAGAGAATGCCTCTAGAACATGGCCATATAGCCCGAAAAAACCTACAACAACCCAGTGATTCCGGCCATGAAAGCCTTCGACAATACATTTAATGCTTATAATTGTTTTAAGCATGAGCTTTATTTATAATGTAGATTTCAAAGTATGTATGTTTAAAATGCAGCAGCTATGTGCCGAGCATAATGCATTCCTGTGTGGAAAGAGTTAACTGAACCATGGAGGGTACGGTATTCATAGAGAGATCATAAATCAAGTGTATAGAACAAATGGACGCAGCATCGTACGTCATACGTCACTCTGGAATGCAAGAGGTGTGGACTAGTACTGATAACGGTGAGTGAGCTCGCAATGTTACGATCGTAAAGAAGCAAGTTTACAATGTGTTGAGTGTTAAGTAGCTTCTAATGTATATAGCTGTAAAATAAAGTAGTTTATAGCCTAAGGTGGCTGTGATTGATCTGTTTCTGCCTTGCTGTGCTTCCGATGCCACTGACAGTACGGTGGTGAGATCCAGTCTCTGAAGTTTCAAGTCTGTGCGCTCTCATTTCAGGCGTCAACATCCTGGGTACTCATTGTGCACAGATCTTCCAACAGCCAAGCAAAGCAATAATGTGACCAACACGTTCTTGTGAAATGCCGATTATGCTTGAAATTTCTCTCTGAGTGATACGACAATCGTCCTGAATCAATCTGTCAACTTTTGCTTGTGAAACTCGGTGGTTGCTGTCACAGGACGTCCAACTCTTTGTTTGTCACGCAAGTCAGATGTTCCCACCTCAACATCTTTAAACTTACTCACCCAACGATGTACAGTACTCACACCAACACAATCCCCATAAACAGCTTGCATTCTCTGATGAATCTCCTTTGGGGTGACACCTTCTGCTGTCAAGAATTCAATGACTGCACGTTGCTTAAGTTGCATTGACTGACCGTCTGCACAAGGTTCCATACTTCGCACTTTAACAATACAACCGTTCAATGCCAAGGCTTCCCACAAAAATGGAACTGTAGAGGAGAGTCTACTGAACAAGCCAGTACGTGCTGCAGACCAGCACTGCCATCTGATGAGGAGTTATGAAGGTCCATTCAATGCTAAGGCTTCCCGCCAAAATGGAACTGTAGAGGAGAGTCTACTGAGCAAGCCAGTACCTGTTGCATACTAGTACTGCCATCTGTTGAGGAGTTACGCAGGTGGAGGCATTACTTTTCATTCAACCCTCATATAAGCAGTGTACATGAGGCCTTGTCTCCATCGTGGTTGAGCCTATGATTGGCTGTGTGAGCACTTTCCTCTGGAGAACCAGGTGGAAGGGATCTTCAGAGTTGGGATGGGACCCCCAGATGCCATATAACCCACCCCTTCTGCCAGCTGAGCCCTCCCGGCAGATGGCCACCTAGCACCCCCATCATGGAAGGCCTTGTGGAGGGGCTCACCGTGGCTGTGGCCGTGCCCGTGGCTGTGCCCCCCCTTGACGTGCCGCACAAACTTCTCCACCACCAGGAAGGCCACAATGCCCCCCAGGACCCACAGGCCCACTGACATCATGTGCTGGTGCTCAGGGCCTGCAGAGAGACAGACAGACAGACAGACAGACAGATATGGGGACAGGGGTGAGAGAGTGACAAGGCAAGTTTTCCACCGTAACTTGCAAATAAATTGGTTCTAAACTGTGTTCAAAACTAGAAGGGGACTGGCGCTTCGATTCTAAAGTTCTTCTCGAATTTTGGGGGTAAAAGTTTCGGAACTGTAATGAAACTTACGAATCTGCGTAAGTACTTCGTTAATGGCAGTGGGGAAATTTCAGGGGCTCCTATCCCCCTCGTTTTTGAGCTATCCAGATGAAACTTGCCACCGTGATAGAACACATTGACCACGGCTAGCCCACCAAATTTCAGAACGTTTGACTAATCCATGGATTTTTGGCAATTTTTTAATGAAAAAAAACGTTAAAAAAACACGACAAGAGCAATCTCCTTGATTTTTCTGATGACACAAGATAACAAGGGATCCTTCCCCCCAACTTTCAGGAATACCAAGACATCTACTGATTTATGGGAATTGTTTTAAGGGGAGAGATAATGTTCTCTCTCCTCTCCTAATTGGCGCATTCTCCTTCCAAGGAACACTTGGGAATGTAGTTTAAGGCCGGGCCTTTTGGAATCGCTCCCATTGGGAGCCTGGCCTTCCAAAACTACACTTAAGGTGGCTGTGATTAGCCAGGCAGATGGCAAACTATTTCACACCTCAGCAGACTGAAAGCCACAACCAAGGTTACAACAACATCTGTTATAGAACTCCAGTATGCTGATGACAACATCATCTGTGCACATTCAGAAGAAGACCTACAAGCCACTCTAAACACCTTTGCAGAAGCATACGAGAAGCTTGGCCTGTCATTGAACATTGAGAAAACCAAAGTGCTCTTCCAGCAGTCACCAGCCAATCCCTCTCCAATGCCAGAAATACAGCTTAATGGTGTAACATTAGAAAATGTTGACCATTTCCGCTACCTTGGCAGCCACCTCTCCACAAAAGTCAACATTGACACTGAAATACAACACCACCTGAGCTCTGAGAGTGCAGCATTTTTCCGAATGAAGCAGAGAGTGTTTGAGGACCGGGACATCCGTAGGGAGGCCAAGGTGCTTGTCTATAAAGCTACTGTCCTCCTAACCCTGCTATATGCCTGTGAGATGGGGACTGTCTACAGATGTCAACACTGAGAGTGAAATACAACACCGCCTGAGCTCTGCGAGCACAGCATTTTTCCGAATGAAGCAGAGAGTGTTTGAGGACCGGGACATCCGTAGGGAGACCAAAGTGCTGGTTTATAAAGCTATTGTCCTCCCAATTCTGCTATACGCCTGAGAGACATGGACTGTCTACAGATGTCAACACTGAGAGTGAAATCAACTCCGCCTGAGCTCTGCGAGTGCAGCATTTTTCAGAATGAAGCAGAGAGTGTTTGAGGACCGGGACATCCGTAGGGAGACCAAGGCTTGTTTATAAAGCTATTGTCCTCCCAACCCTGTTATACATCTGTGAGACGTGGACTGTCTACAGACGTCACACGCAACTCCTAGAATGATTCCATCAGTGCTGCCTCCGGAACATCCTGTCTTCTCTTGGGAAGACAAGCGGACAAACATCAGAGTGCTGAAAGAGGCAAATACCACCAGCATTGAAGCGATGGTCCTCCGCCATTAACTCCGCTGGACCAGCCACTTTGTCTGGATGACCAACCACCGTCTCCCAAAGCAGTTGCTCTATTCCAAACACAAGAACGGAAAACGGGACGTTGGTGGGCAGGAAAAGAGATTGAAAGATGGGCTCAAAGCCAACCTTGAAAACTCTGGCATAGACACTGAGAACTGGGAAGCCCTGGCCCTTGAGCACTCCTGCTGGAGGTCAGCTGTGACCAGCAGTGCTGCAGAATTTGAAGAGGCATGAAGAGGCACCCACCCCTCCACACCCCAACCACCACCACCACACAGAAGCTTGGCCTGTCATTAAGCATCGAAAAAAACCAAAGTGCTCTTCCAGCAGTCACTGGCCAATCCCTCTCCAGTGTCAGAAATACAGCTTCATGTTGACCATGAAGAGGTGGCTGCTCCCTTGGCAGCCACCTCTCCACAAAAGTCAACATTGACACTGAAAGTCAACACCGCCTGAGCTCTGCGAGTGCAGCATTTTTCCGAATGAAGCAGAGAGTGTTCAATGCTACACCCGTGCAAACCATTATATTACAATATTATTAGTAATATTACATGTATATACAATATATAATATATTATTAGCATATTACAATGCCAGTATTATACACTACTATATTGTACTATACCATTATATTGTCATAACATGTAATATAAAATATATAATTCCAATATTGTATTATTATTAGTATTGTATTACATTATAATGTTAAAAATATTATATGTAATATACAATATATAATATTACATTATATTATGTTGTATCATTAGCATAGCACAGGAGACATATATCTGGTTTTGTGCCTTCTTACTTCTGGTAGGAAACGAAAGGAAATTTCCACTCAAGATCTGTGGACTGCCAAAATGATGAATCTGGCAGAGATGGACAAATGGGCCATGCCATCTCCCAAGTCGGAGGAAGAGTGGCAGCCTTTTATTGACATTTTAAAAGAGAGATAATCACTCTTACAGAGATACAAGGATAGCAAGGAAAGAATAGCAGTGAATTACATGCTGGATCCTTACCCTGGTGGGAGTGTCCGTGTCCAGTGGGCCCGGCGTGGGAGTGGGGGTGCCCGGCTGTGTCCCCGTGGTGGGAATGGGGCTCTGCAAAGGGAGGAAGGCAATGAGATTTGGGGGTCCCCTGCAGCCCACCCACCCACTCTCTCTTTCTTTTGCTCCCTCCTTCTCTCACTCACCCAAGGCGTGGGGGATGAGGTGGAGGAAGGCGTCTCCCAGGAGCCCCCCCGAGGCGAAGCTGAGCAGCAGCTTGAGCAAGGCCTGGTGCTGGGCGGAGTTGGACTCCACCGGGATCAGGAAGAGGATGAAGTAGGGCGCCGCACTGATCAGCAACGTGGCCCCGATGGCCTGTGGGACGAGAGCATGTTAGCGCTCACAAAGGGCATGCGTGTCCACATTGGAGCACTGACGCACTTTTGACGCCACTTCAACTGTCAAGGCGACAGGATCACAAGAGTTACAGCTCTGCAAGATCTTTCGCCCCATCTACCAAATTGTAAACAAACTGTGACCCCCCACGATTCCCTAGAGGTGAGCCAGAGAGACTCAAGTGGTGTGAAACTGCATTCATTCTGCAGTGCAGATGCATCCAAAGCCTTCCCCCTGCGGGCCGGCATGCAAATCAGGGCTGGGCAATGGCTAGGAATATCAACAGGGCTAAATACAAAGTGCTGGTCATAATCTATAAAGCCCTAAATTGATTGGGTCCAGGCTATGTGTCTCTGTGTCTATGTAATTGCATCTCCCTATAACTTAATGAGCAAATAGAAAGGCGGCAGGAGATTAGTCAAAACAGGCAAACCGAACAGTTGCTTCAGCGCCCTGCCAGAATCCGACAGAAAAAGATAAGGGAATCTCAATTAAAGCGAAACCAGTTTCTGAGTGCTTGTGATAGCTTAACGAGGGGATAAAACTATATTTCCCAAGTATGAAGCATACTGTTGCACTGCAGAGGACAGGAGCAGGATTCAAAACGATCTTGACAGATTAGAGAGATGGGCCAAAACTTACAAAATGAAGTTCAACAGGGACAAATGCAAGATACTCCACTTTGGCAGGAAAAACAAAATGCAAAGATACAAAATGGGGGACAATGCCTGGCTTGAGAGCAGTACGTGTGAAAAAGATCTTGGAGTCCTCGTGGACAACAAGTTAAACATGAGCCAACAATGTGATGTGGCGGCAAAAAAAGCCAATGGGATTTTGGCCTGCATCAATAGGAGCATAGTGTCTAGATCTAGGGAAGTCATGCTACCCCTCTATTCTGCTTTGGTTAGACCACACCTGGAATATTGTGTCCAGTTCTGGGCACCACAATTCAAGAGAGATATTGCCAAGCTGGAATGTGTCCAGAGGAGCGACTAAAATGATCAAGGGTCTGGAGAACAAGCCCTATGAGGAGCGGCTTAAGGAGCTGGGCGTGTTTAGCCTGAAGAAGGGAAGGCTAAGAGGAGATATGATAGTCATGGATAAATATGTGAGAGGAAGCCACAGGGAGGAGGGAGCAAGCTTGTTTTCTGCTGCCCTGAAGACTAGGACGCAATGGAGGAATGACTTCAAACTACAAGAGAGGAGATTCCATCTGAACATGAGGAAGAACTTTGTAACTGGAAGGACAGCTGTTCAGCAATGGGACTCTCTGCCCCGGAGTGTGGTGGAGGCTCCTTCTTTGGGGGCTTTTAAACAGAGGCTGGATGGCCATCTGTCAGGGGTGCTTTGAATGCAATATTCCTGCTTCTTGGCAGAATGGGGTTGGACTGGATGATGGCCCACGAGGTCTCCTCCAACTCTAGGATTCTAGGATTCTATGCAGGACAGGAAAAGCCCTGACTGTAAACACCACACCATTGTGGCTTGCCTGTTTGGTCTGCCTGTTTTGACTAATCTCCTGCTGCCTATCCATTTGCTCATTAAGTTTTACAGCTGGGCCAGGTGCCCTGTTGTTTTCAAGCCCCGAATCCTGGGAACTCTCTGGTAGCAATTCAGGGAGTACATTATCATCCCCACACCTTTCAGGGACATTCTCATGGGAAACTACACTTTGCAAAAGGGGTCTCCTGGTCCTTCTCTGCATCAGTATCATTGCCATCTTGAAATTCATTGGCATCACTTCCCAATCCAAAGCACAATCACAAGCTGAACTCCAACAGAAATGGAGATGGGCACCAGAGTCTCAGAGTTGGACTGGACTGGACTCAATGTCAGGGGAAAATCTTTACTTTTACCTATGGCTTCCTCCCTCCATGCAAACGGACACAATGGATTCCATCAGGGAGAAACGTACAGGACTGCACTGAGGCAACACGAATGAAATGCAGAGAACTAGGGCGGGTGGGACTGGCTTGAGAGCACATCCTGGGAGTCTCAGGGGATCACAGGCTGAGGATGATGCGCCAAGAGTGTGATGCGGCGTTTCCCTCCCAACCCCGTGATGTCATAATGATGGAGCCAATCCCTCCCCTGCAAAGAGTCCCCAGACTCACGTAAGTCCACAGCCACGCTGTCTCCAGCTTCTCTCTCCTGGGAGGGGGCCTCTCGTGGTTGGGGAAGGCCCCGCCCTGGCTGGGGCCACCAACGTGGTCCTCGTGCGAATGCCCATGAAGGTGGCTGTGGGCCCCTTCCTGTGCGTGGCTGTGGCTGTGACCGTGGCGGGGTCCCTCGTGCAAGTGGCTGTGGCCGTGGTGGAAGTCCTCATGGTCATCATGGTGGTGGTGCTCAGCGGGGTCGCGCCAGAGGTGCTCGTGTGTGTGGCCGTGGCCGGCGTGGCTGTGGCCATGGTGCAAATCCTCATGGCTGTGGCCGTGGTGCAAGTCCTCGTGGTCATCATGATGGTGGTGGTGCTCAGCGGGGTCGCGCCAGAGGTGCTCGTGCGTGTGGCCGTGGTCGGCGTGGCTGTGGCCGTGGTGCAAATCCTCATGGCTGTGTCCGTGGTGCAAGTCCTCGTGCGCATGGCCGTGGAAGCCTTCGTGCTGTGCAGATGACATCCCCAGCAGAAGCAGCAATACAGAACAGGCCACCAGGAGGGTCACCATGTTCCACGGCCGCCAGCACACCACCATCTTGACCATTGACTCTGGAGGGAAGAAATAAGAGCGTTAAGGGCATTGGAAGAGGCCCCTAAAGGCCATCCAGCCCTGCCCCCTTCTGCCTTCCAGACAGGGACACCACACAAGCCCTCCTGACAGATGGCCATCCAGCCTCTGCTTAATATAATATATATTATATACTTTCTATATATTAATAATAATTAATAATAATATAATAATACAATATAATATAATAAAATATTATAATCATACAATAATATAATAATAACAATATAATATAATTATATTAATAGTACATGTACTTTTACATAAGCTGAATCCCTTCACCTTCTTCTGGGGCTACAGTCCTCCAGGGGCATAGAGTCGTGGGGAGAACGAGGCCAGAGCGTCCCCCGGTGACCCTTTTCTCCAGATCCCTCTCTCCGCTCTCCCGGATCCGTTAGCAACACCGGGCTTAAAACCTGACGTGGCACCTAGGACACGCCCACTCGGTCCAAACCTCGCGAGAAATGCCCCTCCCTTCATTCAAATCCCAACTTTTGCCCTTTCGCAATATGGCGGAGCTGGCGACAAACATGGCTGAAAACGCCACCCGATGGATTGTCGCCCTCAACAAACATGGCGGTCAATCAATTTCCCCCTTTTGCCCTTTCGCAATATGGCGGCGCCGGCGACAAACATGGCTGAAAACGCCACCCGATGGATTGTCGCCCTCAACAAACATGGCGGTCAATCAATTTCCCCTTTTTGCCCTTTCGCAACATGGCGGAGCCGGCGACAAACATAATGGAAAACGCCAACCGAGGGATGGTCGCCCTCAACAAACATGGCGGTCAAGTTCCCCCTTTTGCCCTTTCTCAATATGGCGGAACCGGCGACAAAAGTAGCGGAAAATGCCAACCGAGGGATTGTCGCCCTCAACAAACATGGCGGTCAATCAATTTCCCCTTTTTGCCCTTTCACAATATGGCGGCGCCGGCGACAAACATGGCTGAAAATGCCACCCGATGGATTGTCGCCCTCAACAAACATGGCGGTCAATCAATTTCCCCTTTTTGCCCTTTCGCAACATGGCGGAGCCGGCGACAAACATAATGGAAAACGCCAACCGAGGGATGGTCGCCCTCAACAAACATGGCGGTCAATCAAGTTCCCCCTTTTGCCCTTTCTCAATATGGCGGAACCGGCGACAAAAATAGCGGAAAATGCCAACCGAGGGATTGTCGCCCTCAACAAACATGGCGGTCAATCAATTTCCCCCCTTTTGCCCTTTCGCAACATGGCGGCTCCGGCGACAAAAATGGCGGAAAACGCCAACCGAGGGATTGTCACCCTCAACAAACATGGCGATCAATCAATTTCCCCCTTTTGCCCTTTCGCGATATGGCGGCTCCGGCGACAAACATGGCTGAAAACGCCAACCGAGGGATTGTCGCCCTCAACAAACATGGCGGTCAATCAATTTCCCAACTTTTGCCCTTTCATAATATGGCGGAGCCGGCCAACCGAGGGTTGGTCGCCCTCAACAAACATGGCGGTCAATCACTTTCCCAACTTTTGCCCTTTCGCAATATGGCGGCGCCGGCGAAAAACATGGCTGATAAACGCCAACTAAGGGATTGTCGCCCTCAACAAACATGGCGGCGGTTTGTTTTAGGGAAATTGTCACTCCGGGGCGGGGTAAATAAATAAAACAAGGCTTGGTGGTTGTAGGTCTTTCGTGTGGCATGGCCCTTGTTCCAGAAGCATTCTTTTCTGACGTTTCGCCTGCATTTATTGGGGGGAATTGTGAGGTCTGCCCTCAACAAAGATGGCGCTTCGTTACCTCAGACGCCGCCGCCGCCATCTTTCTTTCTGGTGGAGGAGAACATTCGTGCGGAGAGAGAGCAAAGAGGGGAGGAGGGGGCGGGGCCGTCTCCTGCCCCGGTGCATTGTGGGAGGATGGCCAACGGTGAGTGAGGGAGAGAGAGAGGTAGGCCTTGGTCTCGTCGGAGGCCAGCGAGTGCGCGCGCGGGGCAGGCTGGGAGTCTGGCCAAGGCGAAGGGGAGGGGGAGGGAGAGAGGGGGGCGCCGCCGCGCTGCCTGACGGGAAAGAGAGGCGCCGCGCGAGAGGCCCCCAGCCAGGCCCGGCGCGCGGTGCATTGTGGGCAGGCCCAAGCCAAGCTGAGGCGGCGAAGGCGGTGAAGGCGAAGGCGGGGAGGATGATGGGCGACGCCGGGAGGCCCGGGGCAGGTGAGGAGGCCTTTGCGGGGAAAAGGGAGGCTTCTCTCTCCCCCGCCTGGCGTCACAGTCGGGTAGGGAGGTGGGTGGGTGTTGTTGACAGCCCGGAGAGGAGAGCGAGCAGGCTTCCTGCCTCTGACTAGGCCTCGAATGGAGCCATGGCTTCCAATGACAGGAAAGAGATCCCATCTGAACGTCACCAGGAATCCTAGAATCAAAGAGTTGGAAGAGACCTCTTGGGCCTTCATCCAGTCCACCCCCATTCTGCCAAGAAGCAGGAATATTGCATTCAAAGCACCCCTGACAGATGGCCATCCAGCCTCTGTTTCAAAGCCTCCAAAGAAGGAGCCTCCACCACACTCCGGCAGGAGTTCCACTGCTGAACGGCTCTCATAATACTAGAATCCTAGAATCCTAGAGTTGGAAGAGACCTCCTGGGCCACCATCCAGTCCAACCCCCTGCCAAAAAGGAGGAATATTGCATTCAGAGCACCCCTGACAGATGGCCAGCCTCTGCTTAATAATAATAATAATAATAATAATAATAATAATAATAATAGAATCCTAGAGTTGGAAGAGACCTCCTGGGCCATCATCCAGTCCAACCCCATTCTGCCAAGAAGCAGGAATATTGCATTCAAAGCACCCCTGACAGATGGCCATCCAGCCTCTGTTTAAAAGCTTCCAAAGAAGGAGCCTCCTCCACCACACTCCCTCCGGGGCAGAGAGTTCCACTGCTGAACGGCTCTCACAGTCAGGAAGTTACATAGAATCCTAGAATCAAAGAGTTGGAAGAGACCTCCTAGGCCAGTGGTTCTCAACCTTCCTAATGCCGTGACCTCTTAATCCAGTCCCTCATGTTGTGGTGACCCCTAAACATAATATTGTTTTCGTTGCTACTTCATAACAGTCATTTTACTACTGTTATAAATCATAATGTAAATATCTGATATGCAGGATGCATTTTCATTCACTGGACCAAACTGGGCACAAATACCCAATACACCCAAATGTGAATGCTAGTGGGGTTGGGGGAGGATTGATTTTGTAATTTGGGAGTTGTAGTTGCTGGGATTTATAGTTCACTTATAATCAAAGAGCATTCTGAACTCCACCAGCAATGGATTTGAACCAAACTTGGCTCCCATGACCAATGGAAAACTGGAAGGGTTTGATGGGCATTGACCTTGAGTTTGGGAGTTGTAGTTCACCTACATCCAGAGAGCACTGTGGACTCATGCAATGGTGGATCTGGACCAAACCTGGCATGAATACTCAATATGCCCAAATGTGAACACTGGTGGAATCTGGGGAAAATAGATCTTGACATTTGGGAGTTGTAGTTGCTGGGATTTATAGTTCATTACAATCAAAGAACATTCTGAACTCCACCAACGATAGAATTGGCTCAAACTTCCCACATGGAATCCCCATGACTATCACAAAATGCTGTGTTTTCTTATGGTCTTTGGTGACCCCTCTGACACCCCCTCAGGGGTCCCGACCCTCAGGTTGAGAAATACTGTCCTAGGCCCATTCTGCCAAGAAGCAGGAATATTGCATTCAAAGCACCCCTGACAGATGGCCAGCCAGCCTCTGCTTAAAAGCTTCCAAAGAAGGAGCCTCCACCACACTCCCTCTGGGGCAGAGAGGAAGAACTCCCTGGCTGGAAGGAGAGCTGTTCAGCAGTGGAACTCTCCGCCTCACACTTCCTTGGTGGCTTTGAAGCAGGGGCTGGGTGGCCATCTGTCGGGGGAGCTCTGATGGTGCTTTTCCTGCCTGGTATTATACACTATCCCAGAATACTTATAGGGTGTCAAAATACACAAAATAATCTCTGTCAGGGAAAAATACTCAGGGAGCATAAAGTATATGATATTCATGGAATCAGAGAGTTGGAAGAGACCTCATGGGCCATCCAGTCCAACCTCATTCTGCCAAGAAACCTTCCCAGATTAAGGAAACTCCCAGCAATATGTCCCTTAATGCACTTTAGTAGTGATTTAGGATTGTCTGCATGCCCTATCCCTTTCCAAAATTTCTATCCTGTTCATATGTCACCTGGTCAGGCCCAGCATTATTAAAAAAAATAACTAATTAGTACATTGGCCCTGCCATAGGTTTTTAAATGTTGTTGTTTTTATTGTCAATGTTTATTGCTATTTTCTGTTTATGAGCTTTATTTATTGTTGTATTACTGTTGCTATTGTTTTATTGTTGTATTGTGGGCTCGGCCTCATGTAAGCCGCACCGAGTCCCTTGGGGAGATGGTAGCGGGGTACAAATAAAGTTTAATAATAATAATAATAATAATGCATTCAAAGCACCCCTGACAGATGGCCATGCAGCCTCTGCTTCAAAGCCCCCAGAGAAGAATCCTCCACCACACTCCGTCAGGGGCAGAGAGAGAGTTCCACTGCTGAACGGCTTTCACAGTCAGGAAGTTCTTCCTCATGTTCAGATGGAATCTCCTCTCTTGTAGTTTGAAGCCATTGTTCCGCGTCCTAGTCTCCAGGAAGCAGAAAACAAGCTTGCTCCCTCCTCCCTGTGGCTTCCTCTCACATATCGGCTATCATATCTCCTCTTATCCTTCTCTTCTTCAGGCTAAACATGCCCAGCTCCTTAAGCCGCTCCTCATAGGACTTGTTCTCCAGACCCTTGATCATTTTAGTTGCCCTCCTCTGGACACATTCCAGCTTGTCATATCTCTCTTGAATTGTGGTGCCCAGAATTGGACACAATATTCCAGGTGTGGTCTAACCAAAGCAGAATAGAGCATGGGGAGCATGACTTCCCTGGACCTAGACACTAGGCTCCTCTTGATGCAGGCCAACATCCCATTGGCTTTTTTTGCCGCCACATCACATTGTTGGCTCATGTTTAACTTCTTGTCCACGAGGACTCCAAGATCTTTTTCACACGTACTGCTCTCGAGCCAGGCATCATCCCCCCATATATATTCAGTATATAGTTCAGTGTAATTCAATGTATTCACATAGATTGAAATGAAAAGGAGCAACTGCTCTCAACCACAATACATGTAATACAGTCATCTATATAAATAAAAATGTAGTGTTCATTTGTGGGATTAACATAACTCAAAAATCACTGGACGAATTGACACCAAATTTGGACACAAGACACCTATTTGCACACAGATACACACTACAATTGTCCTGTAAGATTTAAAGTATGGTTTGAATTGCAGCTTGAATCATGTCCTCATCGTTTAGACTAATAGATAGGTATGTCAACCCAAAACAAGATATTTCAATGTAAAATCATCCCATAGTATTTATTATTATTACTAGCCATCCCCTGCCAGACGTTGCTGTGCCCCAGTCTGGTGAACTGGAAAATAGTGTAATGACAAAGTGCTGGTTTCTAATATATGTAATGTCTATATGCTTGTAGATAAACAGTATTTCTTGCTGTTTCTTTGTCAGTGTCGATGTGGAGATTGCCTGGTTTGCCTACTCTGGAACATGCAACATAATTGTCCTTTTTTAAGGATCCCTTTCAAATCTATGACGCTATATCTCTCTTTCTATGTGAATCATATCAATCTATGTATGTCTATGGCTGGATGGCTCTTTGTCAGGAGGGCTTTGATTACATTTTCTTGCCCTGGTGAAGGGAGTTGGACTGGATGGCCTTAAGTATTTTCTGGTGGTCATGGGGGTTCTGTGTGGGAAATTTGTCCCAATTCTGTCGTTTGTGGGATTCAGAATGCTCTTTGATTGTAGGTGAACTATAAATCCCAGTAACTACAACTCCCAAATGTCAAGGTCTATTTTCCCCAAACTCCACCTGTGTTTATATTTGGGCATATGGAATATTCGTGCCAAGTTTGGTCCAGATCCATCATTGCTTGAGTCTACAGTGCTCTCTGGATGTAGGTGAACTACAACTCCTAAACTCAAAGTCAATGCCCACCAAACACTTCTAGTGTTTTCTGTTGGTCGTGGGAGTTCTGTGTGCCACATTTCGTTCAATTCCATCATTGGTGGAGTTCAGAATGCTCTTTGATTGCAGGTGAACTATAAATCTCAGCAACTATAACTCCCAAATGACAAAATCATTATTATTTTTTAGTGAAGGACATACATTGGCCCGAGAGGTGTCTTGTGGCCAAATTTGGTGTCAATTCGTCCAGTGGTTTTTGAATTATGTTAATCCCACAAACGAACAGTACATTTTTATTTATATAGATGATGATGATGATTAAACTTTATTTATACCCCGCCACCATCTCCCCAAGGGGACTCGGGGTGGCTAACATGAGGCCAAGCCCAGAAATTACAATAAAGCAAAATAAAATACATACTACAAATAATAACATAGATTTAAAAACAACAACACAAAAATACAATAAGGTAAATACAGTAAAGGTAGTAAAGGTTAAAGCTTTCCCCCTTGACATTAAGTCTTGTTGTGTCCGACTCTGGGAGTCCGACTCAATTTCTAAATCGAAGAGCCAGAGTTGTCTGTAGACACCTCCAAGGTCATGTAGCTGGCATGACTGCATGGAGCACTGTTACCGTCCTGCCGAAGTGGTACCTATTTATCTACTCACATTTGTATATTTTTAAACTGCTAGGTAGGCAGAAGCTGGGATTAGCAACAGGAGCTTACCCCGTTTCCCAGATTCAGCTCTTCCCACTGCTTTAGGTAAATAAAGATAAGGTAACTGCAAACTACAAATCAGATATATTCTGCGGGATATAAAACAACACATATTAAAACAGTCAAACATCATAACAAAGGGGCTTGAGAATGTCGCTTCCCCCAACATACATGGCTCTCTTGTCTCCTCTCAGCCTTCTCTTCTGCAGGATAAACAGACCCAGCTCTTCAAGATGATCCTCAGAGGGATTATTTATGGTCTCCACACCTTTGATCATTTTAATCCTCCTCTGGACACCTTCCAGCTTAGAGTCAATATCTCTTATTGTCTCTTGTTATTATTATTAGTTCTTGGTGTCCTTCTTAACCCTGGGAGCCTTATGGGC